CGCGATGGCCGCGCCCTGCCCGCCCTCCGCCTGCGCCCCGCTGCCGCCGCTGCCGCCGCCCGCCGCGCGCGGGCTCGCCGCCGTGCCGCCGCCGAGGCTGCCGGCGCTCACGCGGGGGCTGCGGCCAGCCGCACCCAGAGCGGCGAGCGAGGTGGCCGCGGCGGCGGCGGCGGGGAGGGGCGGGCTCTCGAGCCACGACGCGTCGTGATGCAGCTGCTGCGCGAGCAGGCGCACCAGACCGAGGGTGCGCGCCCCCTGCTTGAAACCATCGTCGTCATGGCACAAAAGGTGGAGGCACCTGTGCGCACGATTCAAACAACGGGGCACAGCCGGCATTAGGGCAGCTGGTGCTGAACGATGTAGGCGGCAACAGCCGTCTGCAGGCGCGGGCAAGGCGGAAGGCGCGCGTGCAGCATGCCGGGGCAGTGGCGGGAACGCGGCGGAAGCGCGCCTGAGCAGCTGCGCAGTGATGGGCCTGAGCTCCGGCATCGCTGCTGACTGGGCCTGGTAGATGCCTGCAAGCGTCACCAGCAGGGGCTGGACGCCCTGCGGGGTGGGTTGGGGGGTGGGGGATGGTGGCCACCACATGGTGGCGCCGAGCGGCGTGGCGATCAGAGCGCCCTGTATGCATGGACCCGTCATCGCGACAGCAGGCCAGCAGCGGGGCTGGGAGCTTCAGAGGCCAACCGGCCTCTGGCAAGGTTGCTTGGTGGCGAGCACCAAACGACAGCACGGCTTCGCGAAGCTACCAAAAGTGAGACCTGTTGGCAAGGGGACACGCGCGCACCCCGGGACCAGGTGACAAACTCGGGTCGCAACGTACCGCTCACGCGTTCTCACACCGCGACTTTTAGTGTGCCTGTTTCGCGAGCCCGCCTTGCCGCCCCACCTGCTCCCGGTACAGGTCCTTGTAGGCCGCGTCTTCGTCGGCCAGGCCAATCAGCGTCCACACCAGCTCCTGGGGGGACGGCGGCAGTGGAGGGTGGGAGAGCGGTGAGGTGGCGGTGGGGTGGCAAGATGGTGGATGTGCTGTTGGAACATGAGGGGGCGGTGAAGGCGAAGAGGGCAGGGAGGACGGGGAGAGGGGGGGGCGACGGTGGCCGAATCAGCGCATCTGCGCAGCTTCGGCCGCACGTTCAGGACAGCCAGAGAGACGCGCAGCAGGGAGGCACAACAGCGGGCGCAGCCTGCCAGCCTTGACACGCCGCGCAGGGGGCATGGCCAAGAAATTCCTCGCAGCCCGGATGATGCTGACCTGGATGACGGCCTCAAGGCCTGCCCTCGGCTCCCCACCAGAATAAAGCGCACCTGCATCAGCTGCAGATCGCACAGCATGGCCGGGTTGGTCAGCGCCACCAGCAGCGCCTCGAGCGTCCCGGCGCCCTGCAGCACGTCCTTGTATTCTGCCCACATGGGAGGGATGACATCACCAGTGAAGGAGGGTGAGCCGCGCGACGCATGGGGGGGGGGGCTAGGGAGCTGGCATGCGCACGGGGGCCAGCCAGCCATCTGTTGACCACGCACCGCCCAACAAGCACCAGGCCCCTGCCGCATCGACGGCAACACCCGTTCCTGCCATGGCGCCAAAAAGCGGCAGCCGCCCGCCCTGTCGCTGCACAGCAGGGCGCGTTTTGGCTAGCCCTTGACCGCTGCCGCAGCCGCACACGCGCCGCCCGCACCCAGCTTTGACGACAGCGCTTGCAGCACCCCCGCCACGTGGCGTCGCGCCGCCGGCGTCACCAAGCCGTCCCCCTCGCTGACCAGCAGCCGCAGCAGCTGGCGCACAAACGGCGACTCGACCGCGCGGTCCGCGGCCGCCTCGCTGCAGCGGACGCACACGACCAGCAGCGCGAGCGCGCGCTCGGTGCAGGCCACGGGGACGGCCGACGCACCGCCCTCCTTGCCGCTCGCGGCGCGGGACACAATGTCTGCGGAGCGGGCGTCAGCGCGCGGCGCGTTGGGGCGAGGGAGCGCCGCGGGCGGGCGGCACGCGGCGCTCGGGACGCGTCGCAGAAGCACACACTGCACCTGCTGCCAGGGCGGCAAGCGTCCGCGCCCGCTCACCCAGCAGGGCGGCGGTATTGCGCCCCGACGCGAGCTTGGCGCTTGAGCCGGGCTCTTTCTGCAGCAGCCACACCAGGAGCTGCAGCGCGCGGTGCAGGCCGCGCCAGTCGCCCTCCGCCGCGAGCTGCGGCAGGCGCGCCGCTGTGCTGGAGACGATCTGGCGGAGCAGCAGGGGCATGGCCAGAGATGGGTGGGGCAGGGGGGTGAGGCTCGCGCTGGCCGCGGCTCCGGTGGCATGGGGCTGTGCCAAACGTTGTGTGCGCCATGCGTGCTGCGCTTGCTTGTACCGTCGGCAGGAAGATTATGCAACATAGGAGCACTGCCGGCCACCCCTGCGAAGACGCCAGATGCTGTACGCGCTGCCTTGTCGTGTGTTCGGCTGAAATTGTTTGGTGCAGCACGAGGTGGAGGGAGGCCGCTGTGCGTGCCTGGGTGTCGGCCGACACGGGCGCCGCGGTTGGCCGCCCCGCTCTCCCCACAGAAGTCTCTATCGCACTATCCTCCATGATAAGGTCGCAATCTCTGATGGGAACACCGGCGAGACAGCCGAGCCCTGTCTCAAACGATGAAGATCAGCCGAACTCCATTGCCTGGTGTGTTTTAGCGTAGTGTACAGGTGTACGAATGCGATCTCGTGCGTGTTCTGACCGGGTTTGTGCCTACGCACCTGTCTGTCAATGAGCAGCTGGGGGCCCAGCTTCCTGCCGCGCAAAGCAACATTCATTCAATTGGGCTCAGACCGATAGCATTGCGTGATTTTCTGCCTGTCTACAGCCCCCTCACAAGTTTCAATTACAGCACAGACAGATCAACCCCTGCTGTCACCGCCCGCGAGCAGCTCATCCCGGCCGCTTCTCCGCGACACAAGCAGAAACATCCAGTAAAGGTGTGCGTTTTGATGAGTGCGCGTACTGCGCGTGGCCAGTTTGCCGAGCCTGCCTGCCTCTTCGCGAGTGTTCGACAGGACGTCCCACCCACCCAGCCTTGGAGCGTGCGTTCTCTGTCGCGGCGCATCCTCCTTGCTAAAATGAAAGCTATGCAGGTTCTCGGACGCCTCGTAGCATTGTGGTTGCGAGGCGACGACGCCCTGTGCGTCACGCCCACCGAGCCACCAACTTGACTCCAGGCTGCTCAACCCCCTACCATCGCAACAATCTCCCAACCGTGAACTTGCATGGCAACGCGCAGATGCCGCAGAGCAAGTACAGCCTCTTCATCGACAACATCAGCAGCTCGACGCGCTCGGGTGCGTGGGTACATCCTGTGTTGCTTGCTTGGGCTCGCTCCGCTCGCCTCGTAGCTCCCCCGATGCGTCGCACGCATGTGGCAGGCTTCGCGCACCCACCCCACCCCTCCTTCCCCCTCTTGCCTTGTCGCAGCTGACATCCGGTATGAAATGGAGCGCGCTGGCCGCGTCCTGGAGGTCATTCGCGACCCCAAGGCCCGCTGCGCCCTGGTCGAGTTTGACAGGTAATGGCCCCAAGTGGAGGAGTGGCAGGTGTTTGGTGCGGGATCGCTTACAATGTGCAGGGTTCAAGGACGGCGGCTGCAAGGTCGCAAGGCCAAGCATGCACAAATCTTTGGGGCGTTGTGCACGAGATCAGGGCTGTACGAGTCTGTGGCTGCAGTGGAGTGGCGTAGTGTGTGGCGAGTGCCATACCGTCGTACGCGCCTGCATGCCAGGATGGGCGCCCAGAACGCTGCCCCTGCGCTGCCACCTGGCCAAACGCGCAGCGGCGGCACCTGAAAGAGACGCCCGAGACTGCATCCGCACCCTGCACCGCCGGTAGCGCGAGGCCCCCGCCCCGTCGTCGCCAAGGTTGCCGTCCGCCGCGCCGGCAAGGACCCGGCTGCTGTGCGAGCGCGCATGCTGCACTGGCTGAGTTCCGTGCCGCCGTGGGCCCCACGCCGCCGTGCGGCTTCATCATAGGGCGGTTGTGGCCCACAATTTTGTGCCCGCTTGAACCTGTCTTCATGCACGTGCCTGGCTGTCCCCGCCCTGCCCCTCATCTAGGGCTGACGACGCCAAGTATGCATGGCAGAAGATGGACGGCCTGAAGTTTGATGGCCGCACCTGGAAGGTGCGCGCTCATGTGCTGCTTCGGCTGCCTTGATCTGTGCACGGTTGATCCATGTGCCGTCCCTGCTCTATCTTGCAGGCACCTTGTTCCACTGGGGCTTCTGCTGTGTCATGTCTGTGCAGCCTGTGACCCGCAAAGCTGCACCAGCCCTCTCCGGTACTTCGCTTGTGCTGCTGACATCAGCAGCGAAGGTCTGACATGCTGTTGCCTCCTTACTATCACTTCCCAGGTGGACTGGGCCAACGACAAGGACTTCGGCTTCTTCGAGAAGAAGTGGACCGAGGGCGGCCTCAGCAGCAAGCGCGGTCGCTCTCGTAGCAGGAGCCGCAGCCCCTCTCGGTGAGTGCATAAACCGGTGCAGCTGGAGTGGTGTCGGGGCCATTCGCTCAACCAAATCGGATTGCCCCCCCGCTATCCATGATCTCACAGCCGCTGGTGACTGCTGTCCAGTGACTGGACCCGGAACCATGCGCGCTAGGCAGCCGTCGCACGGCAGCTGCCCTCATCGCCCTTGGGCGTCCCGCCCTGCCCTGCCGCCTTCGCCGCCCATGCCGTCTCGCCTCTGCTCTGCAGTGGAGACTCGCGTCAGCTTTCCGACCAGACGCCCTACGAGTGAACGCATTCCCAGCGCGCCCTTCCTCCTGGCTTGTCTCGGCGCCCCTGTACCTTTTGAGCTAGTGACAAGATTGTATCACCAAGATCCCAGTGCAGTGCACTGCCCGTTGCTGTGCAGCCGAGGCATTGACGGTCCCTCGGTGTCTGCCCTGTCCCAATATTCGCAGCAGCAGGAGCCCGAGCCGCACCCCTCCAGGCACGCCGCGCGACGGCGAGCGGGCTCCCCGCAGCCCGTCTGCCGCCAAGGCTGGGGGCCACGGGTCCGACGGCGATGACACTGGACGGGCGCGCTCGGCGTCTCCCGGGGCGAGGCGCGAGGACTGAATTCTTGACCCGTCGCCCAACAATTTGCCATGTTGGCGTAGCATTTGCAAGTCCAAAAATGTGAGAGAGCTCTGGAGTGTTGACAGCATCTCGGACAGATGGCGTGCTTTTCTTGCCTGGTGCTTGCAGGCGCCCGTGCATGCAAATGCCCTTTGATACAGGCATGTGCATATCCTTTGACACAGGCATTCCCCAGACGGTGTCTTTGGTGAGGCCGGATTGACTTGGTAGCCCTTGCAAAACGTGTTGGTGTGTTGCCCGCATGCCAACACGCGGATCGCTTCCCCAGGGCGTCAGTCCCAATTAAGAGGACTGATGTGCTTTTTCTTGCTGCTGTCCAGGCATGTCTGATCAAATGTCGAATACGATGTAACCATGAATTGCAATGCATCTCCGAGAGGTTTGGGTGAGGTGGCGCGCAGTACGGTTGGCAGGGGACTGGGGTTGGTATGCACAAATGCTGGACGCGGGTGTGGGGGGCTGCGGCGCGGCTCAACGCGCGCATTGAAAGCCTCGCAGTGCTCCCTGCCGTCATCCTTCTATCAAATCAAATCAAAGTACATTGGGTGTTCGGAGGTGTCAAGATCTGTCGGATGGCCACAGAACATCTTGTTTTGCCCGGGGGTGATTTGAGGGTTGACCGCAACACGCCTGCAATGACCTCCGCATGGCCAGGCTCAGAAACATTTGACCGGAAGGATCAGCATGGTCAGAGTGTGTACGTCGCTGCAGTGCGGCTTTCGTGTTGATTGGCATTGGCCTGCGGTCGTGACTGCTGGCGGGACGCTGTCGCAGACGCAGCAGGTTCCGCCAGGTGACCGGCGGGTGCGGACACTCGAGCGTCAACATGTCACTAGCACGCCCTCTCAACATGCATCTGGGGCAACACGCATCGGTGAATCTTCTGATGGTACCTCGTGCATCCTTGCGGTGTGCAAGGTTTGATCTCCGCCGAGGCACGTGCATCCATCGCACGTAGAAAGCCTTTGATAAGCAGTTCATTTGTACCGCAGCCGATGGATGCGGACAGGGGCAAATGCCCAAAATAGTTCGTGAGACCAGTGGACGTTGGTCGTGTAATTAGGCGCCCCGAGGAGCATGTGGTGCTTGATACTTCTCCTGTTGATGAGCGGCGGCTTAGAGCACCAAGCAGCGGCGCATGCGGTGAGCGCCACGCTCGGTCCAGGTTGGGGCGACCCGCGTGCGCCCACCGAGACACGGCGCCAGCACGAAGCCTTGGAAAGTGCACGCGGCCAGCATCTGCATGTTGCAAATGCTACATATCATCATGCACAGCGCAGCAGGTGCCTTTGGGTTGCGTGTGGTCGCAGCGTCCGAGGGCGGCTGCCGTTTGCGCCAGCGCAACGTGCACCACTGCCGCCCGCCGCGCTGCTGGCCGCAGCCGCGCTCGCGGTCGTCCGCGCGGCCGCCGGCGCACTCGCGCGCCGTTCGCCGCGCGCCAGTTGTGGAAAACTGCCGCCCTTTTCCTTCTTCCGACTGCAGGCACGCCCGGCGACGAAGATTCCGGACCACCACGGGCCTGGCGTCCAGCAGGCACCTGCACGGCAGCTGCGCCAGCTCGGCTCCGGCGCTATCGGCCTGGCAGGCAGCCTCCTCAACGCCAGCCTCGCCCTCGGCGGCGGCGTAATCAGGGGCGGCGTGCAGCCGGCTGGCAACGGCAGCAGCGGTCGCAACAGCAGCGCATCCGACGGGGATGACGGCGGCGGTGCTGCCGAGGCAGGCAGCGACGCATCCGAGGGCGAGTCTGCGGCTGGGAGCAGCAGCGGCGCGGCCATCGGGCGCGGCGGCCTGACTGGGGTTGTTGAGGCCTTGCTGAATGGCTCGGCCGCAGCCGCCAACATGTTTGCCGCGAAGGCGCGCCAGTGGTCGATGGCGCACGGGGTGAGCGGCGGGCGTCAGGGCCGCGCCGCACGGCCCCTTGGGCGCGGCGCCCGTCGCCTGTCCTCCGCCGCCATGCGCTCTGCCTTGTTTGCGGATGAACAGATCTGGTGCAGCTGAACAAGAGAGAGGTTCTCCAAGCCTGCTGCGCCGTCTGCTGCCGACACTCCCTAGCGCAATGGCTCTCCCTCGACTGCCGCCGCCTCCCTGACCGTCCCTTGTCAATACTCCACGCCTGCAGGATCCCATCCCGGACGACCAGAAAGTTGCTTACCAATACGCACCCGTCCCTACAGTTGCCAAACCTACCAGCAGCGATGCCACGGCCGCCGCCGCCCCTGCCGCGTCCGGCTCGGATGAGGCGCAGGCCGGCTCAGACGCGGCGAGCGCAAAGCAGCCCGCCAGCGCCACCGCGGCGGCGCCCGCGTCGCCCTTCGCCGCGCGCGCGCAGCAGGCGGCGCCGCCGGCGCCGCCTCTGCCGCCGGCGTTCACCGCCAACGGCAGCCTGACGCCCGCGATGGCCATGGCGGCGCAGGGCGCGCAGCAGCAGCCGGCCATGTCGGGCTGGGTGGTGTGCAGCTGGCGGCTGTCAAACATCACTGACTACGACAAAATGGCGGAGCAGTGGAACGCGGCGCCCGTCAGGTGAGGACGCTGACTCAGCGCAAGGCACGCGGGCGCGACCGGAGCGCCGTGAGCGAGAGGAGCTCCCTTGCATGCGTCCTTGCTGCCGAGGCGCGGCTTGCGACCGTGCCGTGGACCCGGCCAACTTGGTGCTCTAACGTGCGTCCTCGTCCCCTGCGCCTGCCACCCCGCGCCCCTCGCTCTGCGCAGCGCCATGATTACGAAGGAGGCACAGCTGCAGCCGCAGCAGGTGGAGGTGCTCACGACGGCCAACGTCAGCCTGGGGCTGCAGTTCACGGGGGTGTCCTTTGGCGCCGACGCTGGGAAGACCGTCAGAGCCCTCAAGGCGGCGTTCGCTGACCTGGCGCTCGGCTTTGACCCCGAGATGATCCAGGTGTCCCCGACACAGGGCGACGACGACGGCGACGAGAGCGGCGGCGGCAGCGGCAACGTGACGGCAGGCGGCGTCCCCGCCGCGCTGCGGCAGGGAGCGCAGGGCGAGGTGCTCGTGCCAGACGCGCTCATGGCGAGTGTCGGCAGCGCCGTCGCCCCCGGCGGCGGCCGCCGCCTGCTCGCGCCGCGGCGCGCGCGGTGGCTGCTGCAGGCGGCGCCGGCGGCGGCTGGGGCCGCGCAGCAGTGGGGCAGCGACGCGTTTGCGTCGTACACGAGCCTGTCCCCCAGCAGTGTGCGCATGCTGATCAAGGCCCTCGAGCTCAACTGCGGGGAGCTGGCGCCCGGGGACCCGCTGCCAAGTGAGGGGGCGGCGCCAGCGCGGTCGCAGGCGCGACCGGTCGGGCCGTGGGGCTTGTTCCTCCGGTGAAGCGCACTCGGCCCTCTTGTCAGCTGCAGCCCTTGGCGCCGGCCACGCGGGGTCTGGGGACCGGAACTCAATATATCACCCCTCTCGCGACGGCGTTGCCAAAACCTAGTGCCTCACGCCCTCCAGCATCCACCCCTGGCCCTCACCTCGCCGCCACCCTGTCGCCACCCTGCCGCCACCCCACCCTCCCACTCCCCGCCGCCCCACCCTTGCTCTGCTCTCACCCCACCGCCACCCAACCACCACCGCCACCTGGGCCTGCACCCTGAAAAGGCAACTGCTCGTCCGTCTTCCGCTACAACCTCGGGAAGGCCGGCGTGCCCTTGGACGTGGAGGGCTTCCACGTGACCCTCATCCACAACCAGTCGGTCACCGTCAACGTGCACCTCGCGGTCGGCCTCACCAAGGGCCAGGTGCGCACGCGCGGCCCTCGGGTCGCGCCTTGGAGCAAGGGGGGACGCCTGTGCCCTGCGGCTGGCCCCTCGGCGCCCTTGCGACAAGAGCGGCAGGGGGCGCCGTCCAAATTCGTTGCGCTCATCCCGCAGTGCACGCCACCTCCTCTTTCGTTTCTCATTTTGAAGGTTAGCAAAGCCCGATGCGCGCCGACAGCGCCGCGGCCCACCTGTTCTACCCCTCCCGCCCCCAAACCAGGTTGCCGGCACCACTGACGAGCGCCTGGTCGGCTGGCTGGGCGACCCCAGCAACTGGCGCTCCCTGCTGACCGCGGCCGGCCTGGAGGGCGGGCCGGACGCCTCGTGGCTGCAGCGGCCGGTGGTGATCATCACGGACCCCTCGGCCATTCAGTCAGCGCAGCGCGTAAACGTGGCGCTGGCCGTCGGCCTGGCGGTGCCTCTGGGCCTCTGCGTGGCAGCGCTGACCGCCGCGCTGGCGGCGCTGATGCTGCGCAACCGGCGCGGCGCGGGCGCGGGCGCGGTTGCGGGCGCCAGCGCCGCAGCGGCGGCTGGCGGCGGCGGCGGCGACGGGCAGCAGGTGGGGCCGCTGGCGGGGCAGGCGGGGCGGGGCAGGCGGGGCGGGGCCGGGCGCAGGGCTTCCCTCGTTCCCTCACAGCAGCCGCGCCTGTGCCCGGGTGCTCAGCGCGCGACAGCCGACTAATCCAGCCCCCTCCTCCCATGCTGTCACGTGATCCGCGCGCCCGTCCCGCCCGTTCTCCAAACTACTGCAATACACCACCCCTAAAATCCTGGCCCCACGCTTCGCCCCGCTCGCCTCGCTCCCCTTTGCGCTGCCGCAGCGCACCAAGGTCGTGTCGGCCCTCGCGACCCGCGCCGGCGGCGCGCCGCCCGCCAAGCGCCGCTACCTCGCGCCCGCGCTGCCCGTCTCCGTCGCGGGCGTCCAGCCCAGCATCGAGGAGCTCGCGGCCGCAAACCTCCGCGGCGCCGGCTCTGCAGCTGGCGGCACCTCCGCGTCGGCATCCGCTTCGGCGCCCGCGTCGGCGGGCAGCTCGGGCGCGCTCCTGGCCGATGCCCCGGCGCGCGGGCTGCCGGACGGTTTTGCTGGCGCCGCGCTGGGCGTGCCTGACGCGGCGGGCGACCTGCGGCCGCGGCTGCAGTCGCTGGGGGACTCGGTGACGTCAGCGGTGAGGTTTGAGCTGGAGGAGCACGGCAGCGGGGTGCAGGAGGGCGAGAATGAGGGCGCTGACGAGGCGGGCGCTGACGTGGCGGACGACACAGTTGGCGCCCGAGAGCAGCGGCGGCAGCTGCAGCAGCAGCAGCACGCGGGCGCGGGCGCGGCGCCGGCGCTGCTCGCGCGGCACGACAGCGGCGGCGACGACGGTTCCGCCCTGATGAGCCGCCGCACGACCGCGAGCGGCAGCGGCAGCCTCGGCGGCGCGAGTAGCGGCTCGCTGATCGGCCGGGCGCGGCTCGAGTCGGTGGACGGGCCGCGGCGGGGGTCGCAGCTGGGCGCAGACCCGTGGCCGGGGCCCGTGGAGCCGGC